ACACATCACCTGATATGCATTAAGTCCAATAAGCGTTCAAGTTTATACTGCTTGGAGTTGGAAATTATGGATAAAATGATGATATGGTCAAAATACTCACTTGCCTAATAATTGTGCACACAGTGTATGTCAATGGTACTGGTCTAACATACGTTGCCAGCACACACAAAAAAAAACCTCTGTCCCAGTGGATTGTCACGCGAGTCAAAACAAATATGGGAATTGAGACAAATTTCCACATTAAAGCTTCCCGTACTTGTAAATCTGAAGAGAATTACAGCCATTAAGTTTATCACTTATGTGAGGTCCTTCAAAAACAGTTTATCTTTAGGCTGGGGTCCCTGATCACTGAGAGCATTAGTAAGCAGAGGAGAGACACACAACACAACCATCTTATTCTTAACCTCTGAACACTGACTTTGGTTCAACAAGCAGACAAATCATTTCCGACTATTGTGGACCTCTCTCACGCTCTGTCCAAACACCAGAGACTCACCTAATTAGCCTATTTGTGTCTTTGTGTTTGGGCTTCGAAAGCTGGAGGAAGGTGGTCTGAGTACAACAGGAAAGGGCTGTCACTTCCTGTCCAGTCTTTAAGACAGAGAGGCAGGATGGGAAATCTCCACCGAGGACAAAAACACTGTGTACTGCAACTAAACAATACATTTTGATTTAACTACGGAGCCATATATAACATAGCTGAACCTTTAGTTAGTGATGTTTACACATGCATCAATAATGATAATCCTGTAATACAGTATATAGTAATGAGTACTTATTTTAGTACTTTAATTAACCTACATTTTGATGCTAACATTTTTGTACTTTTACTTAAGAAAAGATTGGAGTATTTCTTTCACCACTGACCTAAGCAGTAAATACAGACACAGTTTGATGTGTTAAAGGGGCTGAGTAGGAAAAGGATGAGTTGCTTTAAAAAGTGATCAATGTAATAAAAACAGACAAATCATTGCTGATGCCTGAAATATGTATCACTGAGTAGTCAGCTGTCAGGTCAGGGGCTTCCCCACAGTTCTCACAGTCAGTGACTGAGCTGCTTCAGGGCTCAAACCTCTGACACATCAGCACCGTGCAGGTCTGAACTCACCTGAGACGCTCCTCCTCCCTCTCCCTCTAACGTAGCTTCATGTCCCTCTGCACCACCTGCAGCACATGCGCCGCCTCGTCATCTCTTAGTCCTGACAGATCCAACTTCCGACCCATCGCTGGCAGACGTGCGGCTCAGTCAGCTTGTTATGATCCAGAAGAGGAGGAAATACAGAGTTACATTAAGAAAAACAGCATCTAATGAAGCAAAGGATCACACACAGTCCTGCCCTGGAAAAGGATCATTGGTAGATTTACGGTACAGTGTAAACCAGTGTTATAAGGTAACTATATACATTTACTCAAATACTGTACTGAAGCACTTACAAATGAACATTTCTATTTTATGGTACTTTTACAGGTATGGGCCAAAAAATTAGAATATCGAGGAAAAGTCCATTTATTTCAATAATTTGTTTCAAAAAGTGAAACTTGTATGTTATATTAGTTCACTACACACAAAGTGAAATATTTCAAGCCTTTATTTGTTTCAATTTTGATGATTATGGATTAAAGACAAAAAAAACCCAAATCCAGTATTTCACAACATTAGAATATTTCATGTGACCAATAAAAAAAGGATCTTAAACACATGTTGGCCTTCTGAAAAGTGTGTTAATGTACTGTATTATGTCCTCAGTACTTTGTTGGGCCTCCTTTTGCATTAATTACTGCATCAAGGCGGCGTGGCATGGAGGCGATCAGCCTTTGACACAGTTGAGGTGTTATGGTAGCCCAAGTTGCTTTGATTGGCCTTCAGCTTGTCTGCAATTTGGGGTCTGTGTTCCCTCATCTTCCTCTTGACAATACACCAGAGATTTTCAATGGGGTTTAAGTCAGGTGAGTTTGCCGGCCAATCAAGTACAGTTATTCCATAGCTATTAAACCAGTGTGGATGTCTGATCACACCTCCCTGCTGGAATGTGATCTACACCGGGGGTCTGTGTGTATGTGTGATGTTAATTTGTATGTTAAACTGGCCAAGTGGTCAT